AAAGGCAGCCCAGTTTCAGACTCTGAAATCTGGAATGAAGTCAGAACCTTATGTCATAACTTTCCCATCACTTTGATAAATTAATCTTTGCTTGACTTTTGCCAACATCTGCAATCCATTTAATTCAGGTTTTCAGTGAAATTCTCCTAAAAAGTCACTTTGCGAAGTATTCAGGCATAGAAAAAGGCAGGGAGTAATTTCTTTAATAATGAGGAGTAAAAAACCAAATTTCTCATCCTTTGTTGTCACTGTCTCACCGAGGAACACTTCATATACATCAGAAGTTTACACTATATGGTATTACAACAGCTGGTGCATTACTGTTTCCATTTCCTATCCTGAATGATAAAGAAGTGATGAGTGCTTTCTACATGCTACTAATAATATTATACAGAAGATGGTGGTGCCAAGACTGGATAACATGTAAACTGTATTACCATTGGACTCACTGCCAAGCTAACACCATGGCAAAATTTGCAGCTTTAACCCGTATGAAGCATAGCTTTCACAGGAACAAAAGGAAGAAGTTATGATGGAATTGGTCTGTTAATGTGCTAGCTTAACATCTTTTCTCCCTCCTCCCCATATAATCATCTTGATACTTCCTGTACAGAAAGAGGATGCAATTAATGTAATTAGCAAATATTTTAGAAACTAGTTCCCTCTTAAGTTTTCAGAACACACCCATTTTAATTTGCTAGACTCCCATGGGATATAATTTTCCCCTCGCTCTGTCAGAATAAATTGAGTGGTAGAAGTCACTGCTTTAATACATGTGGGTTAGAGAAATGGAATCAATCTTTCTGCAAAAGAAGAACCTTGTCCTAATAAGAGGAAGAAGCATATGCAGGTAAAGAACGATTTCTAAGTGGTGATTAATATGCTTAAAAGTATACCCATGTGCCACCCTCATTAGAAAGATTTTAAAGGCAATACAAGGCCTGTTGGATGAAGCCTAGGTAGCCAGCTGGCAAACCAGGTTCAAGAGGATTTTGAACTTGATCTTCGTGGCTAAGAGGCAGCTAAAATGTTAAGCAAGAACATTAAAAGTTGGGCACAGCACAGTGTTACAACTGAGGTTTGTCAGAGAGCCGCTGGAAGCAAAATAGATGTACAAGCCCCTTCTGTACTGGGAAAACTAGACCAAGGTGAGTCGCCCACACATGTGCTGTAGAAATGTTTTCAGAACTAAGTCGTAACTGGATTATGGTTTTGTATGCTTATGATAATAAGAATTCTTCTGAATTCTCTCAGGATGCAAAGACACTTTCCGCTTTCATCCTCTCTTGGTCTGCATTGTCTGCGTCTCCTCTTGGTACCTCTCTAAAAGAGCCGGTAAGCATCTCATGCTCTTATAAAGTTATATCCTACTTTTTAAAGTGAATATATGGCTCTCTTTAAAGCTGAATAAGGTTTGCCTTTGGATGATGTGTTTGTTAACTCATGCAACTAAAGGACAGCTTTTTCTGGGTAGATGCAAGTTCATTGTTTGAGGGTTTTTATATAGGGAAATCTACCACATCCTAGTTGTTGTTTTAGGTTTAGGGCAACAGCCACTGAACAAATGATATTTCACAAGTTTCAAAAGATCTGTCAGATTTTACTCAGGCAAATTGCTGAAGCTGTCACAGTAATTGGTGTCTATTGTATTAGCATATCCTAAGCTTCCCTTCTCATAGCCTGCTAAAAAAACTAGTATGTGACTTAATAACTGAGCCTCCCTTTCCATTAGTCAGGCAAGAGCTGTTGTTCAGCCCCGTTCTCTTCTTCCTACATCTCCCAGGAGATTTTCCAGCTGTTCAGACTCACAGTAGCGATTTCTTCTGCTGTCATTAAGCCCAGCCACAAAGGAGAAGGCGTGCACTCAGCCTGGGAGTCCCATTCCCCTGCTGACTTCAACATTCCTG